GGTGACATGCAACGTTTACCACTGTGCGGTGGGACTATGGTTAAAATAAAGGGGACATGTTGGGGGGACCACGGGTAAACGCCGCCCTGCCGACGGTTTTCTCGTGTGTTTTCAGCTTCCGTTTTTACCTACAGTGAAGGAACATCATCCATATTATTCTGTGACATAAAGTAACTTATGTTGTGTTGTTTGTTACTAGTGTGCCCGCGCGTACGAAAAGCGTGAAAATTATTTTGATTTCTTTTCCCGAACAAACTCTTCAACTTTAATAAAGCTGTTTGTTTGTCTTATAAAGCTCCTTTATAATATTAGTTATACAGGGTGTTGATTTCGGTAGACCGATACAAAAGCTTTTTGGGTTGAGGACCTTAGGGAAGCGTGTACTTTTCAGGACAGAGCAGCGCACGTCATTTTCAGGGCGGTCAGGGCGGCCGGGAGTCTCACAGTGTGTCTTGCCCCCTGGCCAGTGGTGAAGCTGCGCAAAGCATTTACTCTGCGTCAAAAAAAGGAGAGTTAGGGTATTTTTTTCCACGAAATTTCGAACAAAAGTAATTAATTAAAATCTTATATTATAAAAGGAATCTTGTATGCTTCACAAAAACTACTGAATCGGTTTTGAAAAAAAAATACAATATTCTAGTTTCATTTATTAAAGTAGAAAACACGTAGGTAACAACACCTACTAAATTTTTTATCGAAATCTAAGGGGAAAAAGTATCGGGGAACCTCTCATACATAATCTGGATACTTTTTTATAGGTATAGTCAGCCAGCGACCAAGCACTTAAAGTTCATCTCCATAATCCTTAACGGATGACCTTCACATTCCTGAAGACGACCTATAAATAAGACGTCAAGCAAACAATAAGCGACCCTACTCCCAAATATTCACAAATAAACGGATATTCCAGTGGTGAATATAAAATGATATCATTGGTTCAATAAATAATAAATTGCGACGTTTATTAGCGAAGGATGCCTACCCATAATTACGTCAGTAGACCTACCAATCATTTAATATTTTAACGTAACTAATATTTAAGTATATTTTATTTTAGACCTCATTAGGTACATATTATATGGAAATTAATCCTACTCATAAAGTAACTTTTTCGCTACATGTTGAAAGTACCTACCTACCTAAACTAGAGTCGTTTGGTAGAGTACACTTAGAGCCTAATAAAAGCTGACATATAAATATTGTAGTAATTTTATAAGTTAATGTTAATTGTTTATCTGCTACGTTTTTACTTAAGTATGTTTTATTCTTATAAAACTTCAGTGTTTTTATTGTTAAGAACTCGTAACAAGAGTTTTATATGCGTACCTTATGTAAGTGTCTATTCAGAGAGCAAAGAAGCAGTTCTTATTTTATTTGAAGATTCTTTTTTAAAATCATCTCTTTTAATTTATTCCTGTTACGATAAGTTTTTAAATTTATGAGAAAAGCACTTACGACAAGATTCATGGAGCCAAAATATTTCGCTATGTACCTACTTATTACTCGAAAGCTACGAATTATTTTGGACTTGTCTCAATTTGCAGATGTATTAAACATGCATGCAATTCTACATATTAATAATATTAATTCCTTCATCAAATGGCGTCTTGGATAGGTAAAACTAATTTATAATTTTGCTAATAAATTGATTAATCATCTTCGCACTTTATGCACTCGCATTCGAGTGGGGAAGTGGCGCTCTATCGATATTTCAGTTTATTTCTTCGCTAAGATATGAAATATGCGCGTGCGACTGGTTCGGCCCTCTGCCAAATCGAGTTCTGCAACAGATATAAATTCGGTAAATCTTATAAATGTCTTCAACATGCTTGACTCGTCTGCATTAAAAGGGCTAAATAAAGTTGCATTTCTCTTATGGAAACTTTTAGGTACCTATTTACTACTTAGTTATTTTTTAGCGTTAAGACATACATCTGAATCTAGATTATAAATAACTTGAATCAAAAAATCGAACCCCAGATCTTTCGCTTGCCTGGTTACTGCTCTTCCATCTGAGCTACTTATACTGGATGAACCCGTCGCGTCGCCCCCCGTTTGTTAGTAGGTATTGATATTTAGAAGTAGAATTCGAAAAGCTACCTAGATTTTACACAAGAGGGAATTTTGTACTAATGTACAGAGTTACAATTGTAACTAAATTAACTCTACCTACATAATACCTTCCTACATAGTTTAAACTAAAAACTAATTCTGAATTGTTTTGAAATAACAGTACCTAACTGCTTAATTGCCTACTGTACCCACCACCGCACTAAGGTAAGATTTATTAATAATTCCAATAGGTACAGTACAGAATAAGTCGAAGTAAATAAAATTGTTTTATTTTTGCAAATAACTACCTGTGGTTAGTAAAATACTTACCTATATTCACTAAATGACGATATTTACAATTATCTGGTGACTCATAACTTGACAATTAGAATTTCATTATACTATAGGAAATAGCCATGGCGATTTCAATGGTTTTTGAAAATTTTCCTTTTAAAGTGTTTTACTTCATAATTTATGATATTTTATTACCATAGTCACCTATTTGACTCGGTAACCAATTTAAATATATAACTAAAAGTAGACTGACTGACATAGTGATCTATCAACGCACAGTCCAAACCACTGGACGGATCGGGCTGAAATTTGGCATGCAGGTAGATGTTATGACATAGGCATCCGCTAAGAAAGGATTTTACGAAACTCCACCCCTAAGGAGGTAAAACGGGATCCACGCGTACGAAGTCGCAGGCGGCCGCTAGTATTAAAATATAGATAACTCACAAAATAATAGTTTTTAATTGTATTTAATAGTTAACCAGCCGTTTTTAATTGAATAGTGAATAAGGCTGGGTTGCACCATCTTACTTTAACTTTAACAAACGTCAAAAATCCGTCAAACTCCATACAAAAAAACACCAGTTATCGTCATAGTTACGGTCAAAGTTAGGTGGTGCAACTCAGCTGAAGTATTGCCATACTTCACCTATCACCTAATTAAACATTAATGAAAAGAGGTAGAGTCTTCACATACAGCTCTTTTTCAAAAGATAATTTGTTTTTATTACTTCTATCTTTTGTTTCATTTTATAGTAAGATATAGAAAACAAAAGAAGAAAATGAATGTTTGAAAACCCGTTTTTAAAATGCTTTAAAGGTAGGTACTAGAATGATTTATTTGACTGTATCTATATCATCTCTTATCGATGTTATAGTTTAAATTATAAAAAACTATAAGTAATGCATTTACGAGGGCGGCACTGAAAATTTCGGGAATCAAGGAAGTGAAACAACATTACTATTTAAAAATGTATTTATTGCTTTTTAAAGTATTCTCCGCGAAATTTGACACATTTTTCCATACACGAAACCAATCATTGAAGCAACCATTGCATTCGGAAGTTTGGGTCTCCAAAATGGCCGTTTTGTAGGCTTCCACAGCTTCTTCAGGTGATGAAAATCTCTGACCACGCAATTTATTCTTTATTTAAGGGAAAGTATAGAAATCATTAGGGCTTAGGTCGAGGCTGTACGGCGGATGGACTAATAATTCTATGTTTTCTTGCTCTAAAAACTCCTTTGTTCAGTGCGCGGTGTGAGAACTCGCATTGTCGTGATGGAGGATGATGCGGCGGTTGCAGTTCTCTTTACGGAGTTCAGAAACGACCTGTGGCAAACAAATGCTAGCATACTAATCTGCATTAACCGTTCTTTGTCCCCCAAGAGGAATAGTCGCAACATGGCCGGTTTTGGAGACAAACGTGGCCACCATTTTTTTTGCAACACTCCGTGAACGAACAATTTTTGTTGGCTTTAATTCATTTTCGAACACCCAAACTCGTGACTGGTTTTTTGTTTCGGGTTCGTACGCGTATATCCATGATTCGTCACCTGATACGATGTTGTATACAGCATTTGAGGATCCTGCATGTAATCTCCCGAGAGTTCTGACGCACCAAGTAACGCGAGCCGCTTTTTGCTCTTCACAGAGCGAATGCGGTATCCATCGGGAAAACAACTTTTTTACACCTAATTGTTCATGCAAGATTATTTGTATTTGACTCATGCCAATGTCTAAAGTTGCCTGAATTTCGCGGTATATCACATGTCGATCTTCTTCAATCAGCTTACGCACAGCATCAACGTTTTCTTAGGTGACTGCAGTTTTTGGACGACCTTGACGGGGATCATCACTGAGCTTGACACGTCCACGTTGAAATTCAGGAAACTAGCGATAAATTGTGGTTTTGGATGGGGCTTCATTACCAAATGCAGAAATCATCCGGTCAACACACTGTTTTTGTGTTAAACCACTTCAAAAGTCATAATAAATCATCGCTCTTGAATTTTCTCGAGTCAATTCCATTTTCTCAACGACTAAACAAGTTTGACAAGACCTTGTGATACGACCGAGAATCTTTTTTTAAATAAATAAATGGTATACGATTTTTAAAACCCTGGACTTTGCAATTAAATAGATTTTAATATGACTGGAACAGTGGAAATATTCCATTCCCGATACTTTTAGTGCAGCCCTCGTATTACATTCTTTAGAGGCTGGGTGGTCGCAGTATAATAAAAATAAAGCTTAGATACTTAACATTCGAAAACTTTTTAACTTTCTATTAAGTTTAAATGTTTATTTGCACCAGTAGTTTAAGAGATTACCCATTACAAATACACAGATCACAGCATTGCGATTTAAACCTCGCTAAAATAGTGATAAAGATTTTAATAGTTTTTATAAACCACTTAGCTACCATAAACATGATATCCATTCATAAAGGAATATGCTTTGAAATGTTGTTTATACCGGAGTAATGTTAAGAAATGCACATGGTCGCCGGCGGCGGGCGGCGGCGGGCGGCGGGCGCGGCGGGGCGGGCGGTGCCGGCAGTTTTCCCCGCCCGCACCGCGGTGGGCCGCGCGCGCGCCGCGTTTTCCACCGGCCCCCTCGCCGCCTCGCTCGAGCCGGGAAATCGCGCGCCGCTCGCTCAGTCCGACTCAGCCGTCGCGCTACGACGACGTTTCCGAGACGCTCGCGAACACATACGCGCGCGCGGCGAAAATAGTGAGCTCGTGGCCGGGACACGATCCGCGAGTTTAGTGTGGCGGCGATGTTGCGGCCGCTGCTCCTGCTGGCGCTGGCGCTGGCGGCGCCGGCCCCCGCCGCGGCGCGCCGGCACGCTCCCACTCTGCGCGAGGACGAGCCCGCTCGCCGCACCACGCGTCCCGCCGGTGAGTGCCAACGATATCACCCGACACTCCCACTGCAATTAAATGCACATCGATCTACCGCATCTGCTGACGCTCGCCGCATCCGCATCTATATTTCGTCTGATGGCACCGCGAATTAGAACGCGCGGCGCACAGCGGACGGCAGGACACGTGTGTTTATGTAAATAATTGCATTCCGATGTATCTGCGCCGCTATTGACTGGATCAATTAACGCAGCGAGTTACGCGTTGCTTTTTCAATTTTATCGATGTAATTGTAGTATCGTTATCAGTGGTCGATACAGGCGCGGCGGGACAATAAAAACAATACCACGTGAGAGCGACAGTCGACATCAATATCAACAATTGACGGAGAGGAATGTCAAGAGGCGTGTATTTTTGTGCGGTGATCCAATAATCTCTGTTATCGGGCAAAGACTCCGCGCCTGAAGTAATCCATGTAAACATGTAATATGTGCGCGCAACTACGGTAGATTACAGTTTTCATATTATCTGTCCATCTAACAGACAACACACTAGACTAGTGTTTTCAAGAAGGTCAGCGGAAACATACAATTATGGCAGTTAATGAGCATAATCGTATAAACAATTTGAAATAGGTATAATTCTGGTTTTAATTAATTGTTTAATGACAGTAACACTTTTTGTATTGCCTATTGTTAATTGATACATTTTTTGTAAATACCTATTAAAACTTCTCAATTTTAAACCTATTGCTGTTTTTAATAATTATTTAACAGTTTACTTGTTTGTATACCTAATTAAATAGTACAAACAAGTAAGCTGTAGTAGAAAAAAGTATACCTGTTGAAACAATTATTGTAACATTTTGTAAAAACTTGCACACTTTGGCACACTGGGGTACCTACCAGAGATTATTTTAGTACCTATTGAATATAATTTACATTTGATATTTGTACATAATACCTACGTATAATTACATCTATAAATCACTAAAGAGAAAGGTTTTCAAATCTTAGATTTAGGTCGTTATGTTATTTTGATAAGTAGTACATAGCTTTATTTCCTTTACAATATGTATTTTGCCTGATCGCTTCTTGTTAATTTTAGTTGTGAATAAAGGTTATGAAAGGGCGAAAGGCTTAATGTTTGAATGAAATAATAAAAATAAATTAAGGAAACATTTTATTTCAGTGATCATTCAGTTTCAGTGAGGAAATAAATATTGTTTATTTGAATTTTATGTTAGGGAAATACCAACCAGAAAGGTTTGGAAATTACAAATTTATGAGGTCATCAGAGAAAATAGAAAGAGAATGTGTAATTCCGAAATAATATGAAATTTTCCTCTTGCATGAAACATTTCAGAATCAATTTAGCTCTCCATAATTTATTAACTTTACCAAAGCACTAGCTTAATAATATCTATATCATACGATTCTGCAATCTTATCATTTGATGTGTATTATATTATTATGAATGATTGGTTAACTCTTAGATTTTTTGTTTAGGCCTTTATTGCCTTACAATATCTTGACAAATTGGATCTGTCCAATCAGTCGTTTCATATCGATGTCTTTCTTGCAATTACTCACCGTTATTTTGGTAAACTGAGTTATATAATGTGTGTAGAGTGCTTAAAATCATCAGAGTTTTTATCTCTTCATATGACAGGGTGACTTTCGTTAGATGCCAGTCAGTTGTTAACTTCAGCCTTGCTCGTGTCAACGATGTTATAATAAGACCAGATGGGCTCCGAAGGACTCGTGCCATGGTCCGTGTGAGTAAGCACCTCTCACTCCGTTTCATTCATTATCCCAATGAAAGCTGGTAACGGTTGCCAAGTTTATATTAACGAGTCTGCCAAAAATCGTTTGTATTACCGAGAAAAGAAAAAAGTCGCCTCAGTCTGTGATGTCTAGACAGCCGACCGAGACAAGACGTGACATGGAAAACTTAGATACATTAGTTTTTGTAGACGTGTTGAATTGTAGACATTTTTCCGAGAACTTTTAATACGCTACAGACATACGTGAGGAAATAGTGCGATTGGTTGTTCATGAATTTCCCGTTAATCGATATTGTTTTGTTTTAATTTGTCATCGAGTTATATCAAGTGATATGGAGTTAATATCCAGTGACCTAAGATGACTTTGCTGTAGTGTTTAATCTGGAATAGTGTACTGATTGTAGCTTTTATATTGTTATCTCGCAGAAGTAGAGCAGTGCATAATCAGTAGTTATCAATAAGCAAGTCGCTGTAATATGGACATGATTATGCGTGTTAGATAACATTTTATTAGCAATCTCCGACTAAAATTAGTACAACTGAAACTGAGAGCTTTACTAGATGTACCATCTGTTTGGATGCGTTAAGTATTAATGATACCAAACGGTGATGAAATGCTTTTATTTGATATTCACACATAAAGTTTAACGAGTTTCAGGATTTCCCTATTGCTTTTGCACTATAGTGGCTTACAATCAACTATCTCCAGCCAGTATAATAAATGTGCCAAATTCAAAACATGTTTGAAGAACTTGATGAAATTGGATTTTAGGTTATTTGATATAAACTTAAGGCGCCGACCACTATGCGGCAGAGGGAACACTCCAGGTTTTTAATGGCTTCGAGCCCCACATAACCTGCCGTCCCCCGGCGGTAGGTATGGATAGGCCATTTTCCTGAAAAATAAAAGATTCTCAAAACTAATTTTATTTATTTCTTCGTCAAACAGCAAAGTGTCACGATTTAACGATTCGAGTCGATAAATCCCGACCTTCTCAAGTAGCTTATCGTAAAAAAGACGTAATACCTACTTAATATACGAGCCGCCTCGCAAAACGACTGAAAACTGACTCATAGACCGCTTATTATTTGTTAAGGTCCTCTCACACCGCAAATTAATTTGCTCTATTCTGCCACATTTTGTAATGAATTGAAGAATGAAGAATTTGAAGCTTGGCTCTACATGCGATCTTATAACTTATTTTACAGTGCGCATCATCTCGTCTTGACTTTTTACATTAAAACATTTTTGGTGAGACCTATACAATTATTATTTAAGAGAATTCAATTGTGTTCTCATTGACCTCAGGTGTCAAGATAGAGTTTAGAAAACTAGGTTGTCTAGGTACGACAATGCCTTGGTGAAGAAAAGACAGGTTAATTCACAAAATAACTTTACTACCAAACGTTTGCGCATTTCAGCGATGAAATACGCGAAAATTGCTGAAAAAATGGCTTCAGTTTTTTGCTAGAGATTTATCCACAAATAAACCTAACTACTCTTATTGCTCAAAAAATTGCCCGTGTAAGAGCACCTTTAGCATACGTGGTGGCCAGTTGTGGCGGCCGCGTGACGTAGGACAAGGTGGTGGGTGGAAAGGGCGCGCTTATTTCAGCCGTCTTACGCAACGTGTAGTACACACGACAGAAACGCGGAACGTGACACGCTCTCTGATTAGGTATTATAGCTGATTTATCGTTTACCTGTACTCTGATTGTTGTTAGCATTCTGAAAAACACAATCGTTGTTTGTGTTACTTACACAACGATCCAGATAAGTTAGCGTGATCTTATTAAACAACGTACTTACTTTAAAGTAGTTTAAAGACTAAAATCTGATCGTCAATAACTGAGTCACTGAGGCGTTATGCCGTAATTTAATTGCAATTGAACTAATTACATGTTATTTGCAATCCAATGTTCACCTCTTAAAGGTTTGCAACATTGTAAGTCGTTTAATTCCTTTGCTTCTTGCTTTGCGCTCGCTGCAAGTGAAATTAGGCTGCAGCGCGGTGATATTTTCGTTAAACGTCTAACTTTCATTTCAGTATTTTATATTTGTCACCGCTACATTACATGAAAAACATTTTAACACTGAATAAAATGAATAAACATTTGTGAAAATGACATACAAAGTTGAAGAGTTTGTATACAAGAAAGTTCGTAATGAATAAACGTAAAACACGTGAAAACTAATTATGTAAGCACTAATAATAAGGAAATCAATTTTACTTCAAAAATAATTGATTGTTATTAACAGTCCTCGTTTTGATTAAAATACTCGGAATAAAACACTGTTTTATGTTTATCTAAAGTATAAGATTCTATTGTAAATTATGACCACATCGCAAAATCAGCTTTAATTTATTTTTAGCGCGCTTATCAGTGGCGCTTATCAAAATTAAAACCCAAGGCAAAAGTAAGATGATAACGAGTTTTTATTATAATTGCACATTAAAGTAACAAATGTTACATAATTTAAATAACTTTATCTTATCCAGAATGTGTGATTGTTATCCATTTGGATTATCAATATTTCAAGCTCTAAATACATTCAAATGTAAACAATATCTGCGTTAGGTACAAACTGTAGTTTATTTATCATAATTATGTACGTACATAAAATTAATAATGATATAGAGTAGGCAAGTAAGTTAGAAGGTTAAGCAGAGCAAATAAATAACTATATAATATAATATTAGCTTCCCCTATTTTGATAGACTCTACCTATGATCCAGTCTACACATCATCTACTTAGTTAGTCTTATAAAAAGGCCTGTCTACGGAGGCTGGAAAGTAGACAAGCCTATATCTGCTAGTATCCAGGTTAACTTCGCGGATTAAACTTTTGCGTTTTGTTCATTCAATTTGGCATTGGTAAAGTTATGACCAGTAAGTCAGTAACTGTTAGGCATAAATTGGCATAAATAAATTGTCTTTGTATTGTAGGGTCAAGGATGTTTCTTGTGTACATTTCATTCAAATGCAGCATCGGAACGTGCTGTCAAACAAATCGTCGGAATTTCGCATCAATATATAAACATGCGTCAATAAAATGTAGAGTTATATAATATTGTTTGCGCCGACGCGCTTGGAATAAGAATGCGGCGGTGATGCGTCGTACATTGTGGCATACAGATGTTGTCATACGTTTATGCAGTTTTGTGCGATTATTTTAATGTTCCAACATTCATATGCGTAAGTAGACGGTTGGTGTGGGGAGTGCGCGCGATAAAAACTGATATTTACA